ATGATGTATGCACTGGTTATACAATAAGAAATCAATCTGCAGCTTATATTATGTAATTAATCTTGTTCGTGTGGGAACTGAGTATATATCTATATGGGAACTATCAATTAAGGTGGTGATAATTAACTATACTGAATAATAAAGTAAATGTAAATAGATTTTCAAAAGAAGATGTATTACAGCCAATGCACATTCCTTTCTGAATAAAAGGAGATTATAATCAGGTGGGAAAAAACAGTCTAATTGAGTTTATACTCCCCCACATCCGATCTCGTTTAATTTTCTAACATCAAACATAATTCATGAAGGTTGCTCTATTTCTCCTGAAAAGGGTCGTCAAATAATATTATCCAAGATCGATAGTTCCTTTTGTTATGTAATTAGACTTTTTTAAATTAAGAGTTTTACCAATCTCACAATAATCCTCAGCAACTTCACCACAAGGAGAGCACACTTATTGAAACTAGGAGTTTACAAGTACCTGCATAGATGCTTCTATATATAAGATAAGACATGTGGTATAAATGCAAATGAGACAACTATCCACCAGAGTCCAAATGGCGTAAACGTAAGCAACTACACAAAAGTCAAACAGCTGTCAAAGATTATCTAGCCATATTTGGTTTCAAATGGTACAGGATTTCTCAGCATGTCTTTTTTTTACATGATTCAACACGGTTTAAATAAGAAAAGTGAAAATATTTAAAGGCGTGACAATCAAAAAGAAAAAATTGAAGAAAGAAGAACAAGACCATGACAAAAAGAATAAAGGATAAATAAATAAATTAGCCTTATTCATGATATGGTTAAGTCAACTAATTACCCATATACATGTTTCCAAATGACACAATTATACAAATGTCAGTACTTATGTCATGATGTTATCAACGTTTATGCTGACATTAATTCAAGAGAATAAATGGAATAATCGTAAACGAAAATTCGTTTGATAAATGTTTATGCTACTGACTCCAAGAACTATTGTACAATATAGAAAAAAGGAGATGTGGTATGATTGGCAATGAGACAACTATCCACCAAAGTTCAAATGAGGAGGATGTTATTAATTATAGGCAACCTTCAACAATGAGAAATAATCGGCTGTGAAAGACCCCGACATGAAAAATATGAAACAATTCAAATGTTATAAATTTGACTTTTTCAAAAAAGTTTATCTCATGTAATGTTTTGCTTTTTGTACAGAATTTTTATAAAACGCCTTTTCATGGATCTTAAAACAGAGGCGAAAGATACCAAAAGGACACAATTCGGCCTTTTTGTAAATTTGTGTGTAAAAAATTAGAGTTTTCTAATATACAAATGTACAACAATTGTACAACAATAGTCTCTCTGTATATATCAAGCAGCTAATTGCCCCCTATGTCTCATACCAAGAGAATTGGCATTGATACACAACCGCAATCATAGTGAGAATCTTCAACTGTCATACAAGTGGGAGGTTTAGCTACCTATAAAACCAGCTATAACCCACCATTTTCTTCGGGAAATGCACCAAGTCAGAAACATGGCAGTTGTTTTTCACTTGTTCCGCTGATTGTTAGTGTTTGATTTTGTTAGTTCTTAAGGACTTCCCCTTTCTGAATTTGCATTGGAGTTCGGAATTTTCTTACATATTTTTCGATAAAGACAATGTCGACACATTATCATAGATTCATGACATAATCAGATGTCTATTCTGATGACGATGCTTATGACAAGACCTGCTGTCGATATCGTCAATATCGGTAATTTCGACTCTTTATCGAATAAATATCGGTGATGACTTCAAGCTCATTAAGTTGAGACCGAATATTCATTAATATTGATATGATGGCTGAATGTTTATCAATTTATTTTTTCTGTGTATTCATACAAGGCAACCATATTGTGACTTTCCAGAATACTGTACCCTTAAAAAAACAAAGGAGTAGATTCGATTAAGCCCTAAAATGGTCCCCTTTTTATCTACAATTTCAAATTAATTGACTAATATCACAGCGAACCATATATAATACAATGAATATATAGATACTATGTCTTTTTGTTGAAACGTTACGTACTTGCGTCCTTTTTTTTTGACGTTACAAATAGCACTCATTTTGATGTTCTACGAAAATTCAACAGAAACGGATTTTACATTAATTTCTAGGACAAGGAACATAAAGCGCATGCGTCGACAAAAAATATTTTACATAATGTTTGTTATTACATTTTACATATCTGATTTGAATATTTAGTTTGTCGAAGCCTACGCTCTATGCTTTCTAGACCTAAATATGGTTGAAATCCGGACAATTTTGTCAAATTTGACAAAAATCTCTACTTTTGGCCTATTTGCGATGTAAAGAGCAACGCCTAAACAAAACGTTTACCAAAAAAAGTTCTATTTAACTTTCTTATCAACTTAAAACATTTTTTATCTTAAAAAATTGAGATTTACAATCGGGGCCAAATAGAGCCCTTACCGAACGTACTCCTTTCTTATCGAAATCGACAGCTAAAACAGATAAATCAGGAACAACTGTATCAGATAAACATTTGGAATATGAATTGTCGAATCGATATCGCTGATATCGACAACTTCAGAAGATTATTAAAATGTAAATTCATTTGAAGAAAAAAACGGCTGAGGATAATTGTAAATATCGATATCGTTGATATCATACGATATCGATATCTTAAATAGATAAATCACACTGACTTATTCATGAAATCAAATCTATAGGTAACGACTATCGCCGCATTCGCGTCTCTACACTTTACATTTACAGGTTTAATAGGGGTTAAGTAACTACCGATATAAGTACGATGTAATCGATATCATTTCTATATCATGTCTTGGACATACATAAACACATGCAAACACAATTTATCTTTCTTACTTAATGTTGAAAAAAACCATTAAAACTCCTTTTTTACAAATTTAACTGAAAACATATCAAATATTAAACAAGATGCAAAAAAAAAAATTTAAATCCCACACAAAACATAAAAGACGTCGTTGTATGAAAGCATGCTTTATTACAATCTATACAATTGACAATTGAGAGTGTAGAGTTCAAACATTTGAATAAGGGATCATCTCAAAAGTATGAATTTCAAATTTGATTTACTCGGTAGCTTTAATAGCTTATATATCATTGCTCCCAATAAAATATTTAATAATTGTTTTTTGCAAAGAGCTGCTTTATCAAACAATTGATGATGAAAGTCATTCCATATTTTCTAAGTTTAACATGATTTTGGTTGGTTGATTGCTTGGTTGGTTGGTTTATACACTGTTTGCATAATATCAAGTGGCAGTTCTTTCTATCAATACGTTGGTTGGTCATTGGGTGTGTTGGTTGATTGATTGGTTGATTGGTCACAGTTATTGGTTGATTGATTAATGGAATGATTTATTGAATAATTAATTGTGAGCTTGCATAATGTTAAGAAACGCATATTTCAAAGTGACTAATCCATTGATTGATTGTTTGTGTAACTTCCAGTGACGAATATTTAACGAACATTCTTTACTCAGAGACACAGGTTAAAGCCCCCCTTTTTTTCGAAAAAAAAACAGGATGGTTACCACTTCTTCCATAAAATATACAGGGACGACTTTCTTGAAAAAAAAGCAATGGAAATTTAAATTTAAAAAATATAGAAACGTAAAAACAGAGAGGTTAATATCCAGATCTGATTTTATTTGAAAACAACAAATAAATAAGACATTGATTCCGAGGATCCCTATAAAAATTGGATAGAGGAAGATTCAAAGATATTTTTAGAAAGGGATGTAAATCTTTGCATGTTCCCATTTAAATTTATCAAAGAATATACAAGGAACCTTTTTGCATATAAATACCATGGTTAAGATACAAATAAACATATTGTACTGACCGAAAAATCAGTAACTTAAGGGGATCCCTGCGCTACCTCGATGACACTGTCAATCAATCAATCAATTATAAATCATTAAATCAATCAAACGATCCAAGCAAATCAATTGATTAAGGGATGCGAAATTCGTCCAATATGACATTATGCAAAGTTTCAATCAATCAATTAACTAACATATCTACCAACTAACCTTATGAAGAAGTTGTAATTTGTTTTATGCAAACATTCTATCAATCAACTTATCAATTAACAATAATGATAGAAAAGGTGGAAAGACTTCACTTACAAAGTTTTTATATTTTTTGGAAACAATGTTTAAAAAGCAACTTATAAATTAGAGCTATTATAATATTCCATGTTGAACAAAAGTTCTGTTTTGACATGAGTTATCATTGATTTGGTCATAATCATAATTTGATTGGTAATGAAACTTTGAAATTTTTGGAAAAACTAAGGATTTTCTACCCCAGGAATAGATGACATTAGCTGTATTTGGCAAAACCTTTCTGAATTTTGGGTCCCCAATGCTCTTTAACTTCGTACTTTATTTGGTCTATTTAACTTTTTTTATTCGGGCGTCACTGATGAGTCTTTTGTAGACAAAATGCACGTCTGGCGAACAAAATTTTAATCCTGGTATCTATGATGAGTTTATTTGCAAGTAAGGCATTTACACTTTTGATCAACATGGAATATTATAATACTCTAATACTCTTGAGATGATCCCTTGTTTAAAGGTCTCAACTCTAGACAATAGACGCTCAATTGTCGATTGTAAATACTTGTCTCACATCAACAGCTTTACATCAGGGTAGATTTAATCATCAGCATCTTGAACAGTGTAGACAAACATGGTCTTGTGTAATTTCCTAAGTATTTGTGAACCGCATTTCAATACAGAAAAGAAAAGCTAATTCAATAAACTTATGAGTTGTGCACTGTTATAAAAATAATTCTATACATCTTCTGGTTGTTTGTAGGTCCCGACATTCATTCCGACCTGAAGTGATATGATTTAATTGATATAGTCCTATGTATGTTTTGTTGATATTAATTGTATTTTATTTTTTTTTTAATTGTTATTGTTGTTTTTTGTCCTGCAGTTAAAATAAAAAAAGCGTTCATAACGTTTTATTATCAAACTAGTAAACTTTACTCTAAAAACACACATCAGATGCATTCAAATCGTGTGGTCTTTTGAAAAAAGAAAGACCATGTATGCCTTCTTTGTCTAATTATTTAGAATGTCTACAACATGTAGTTTATTGGAACATCCAATCAACATTCGTTTTTCATTGTCAATTGACAGACCCACTGGATTCTGGATACCGTCCTGCTCGCCAATAGTTGTAATAAATATACCATCCATGGATAATACATGAACGGCGCTAGATTTCTCGTCAGACACGAAAATATCTCCCGTTGATATAGCAACTATATCACGCGGTGAGAATGTATGTTCAGTATTTATCCCGTTATGACCTTTGTACATCCATTTGAACTTCCCCAATGATTCAAGAACAATAACTCGTCCTTCCCAGTTTGTTCCTGTTGAGTCAATTACACAGATGTCTCCGTTAATATTCGTTGTAATAACATTTGGAACATTGAATTTATCATTTTTTAGTTCAAAAGTTTGTATTGTATTTCCATTCTCATTGAGTAGCATTACTCCTCTATGACTTTCTTTTGAAGGTGGTAAAAAAGGACCAATAAAATTCATGAATCCGACAAATAATTTGTCGCCACTCGGATTTGCATGTATTGCTTGGACTCGCATTGGACTGATATCTAAGAATTTAGTTTTTCCTGAGTTTTCTTCGTATTTGTAAATAATTGAAGATGTTCCTAATTCTGTAAATAGAATTGACTCCTTTGGTGTTACTGTTATGTCACTAATTTGGTTACCAGTATATGCACTCTTTACTGTGTAGCATTTATTTTTGGTAAACACAAAGAGTTTTAAAGTCCTACGCGGTTCATCAAACCCAACATAAAGATCTGTATTGACGGTCGCGAGTTTGTTAGTAGCATCACATGTGTATGTACCAACAACTTTTGGTTCTAGTATTTTCATTAATAACCCTACATGCAGGTTTTGTGTCGATTTTTCTGTTGAAAACCTTAAGGATTCTGGATTCTTTATTTCAGCAACCATTTTTATCGGTAGCTCTTTTACCACTTTGTCTACTGCTGAGAAAATGGATGTCGTGTCCTCAGATTTAAAAACCTCTTCAATTATGGCTTTCCTGTGCATAAGATCTTTTTCAGCATCATTCATTGTTTCTTCCACTTTTGAAATTTGTTCACTCTGTGGTATCCACCAGTCATCAAGCTCTTTAATTAACGAATTTGCTTTGCTAGCTATTACATCTTTCATTTCCTCTTCTTTATATAGAATTTGTCGTTTGATTTCATAGTATTTTTCCTGTCGTTCTGCTTTCACTTCTTTTAATTAAGCAATATTTTCACTGAAAAATGGTAAATCTTCTTCAATTTTACCTTTGATTTTTATTAACTCCTCCATTCTTTTGGAAAATACTACATTTAACTTTTCGTATTGGTTTGGCTTCACTAGGCAATCATGACACAGAGATTTATTGCAGCTTGTGCAATAAGCAAATCAATTTTTTTCAGTATGTTGCAAACACTTTACCAACTTTAAATCTAATTTTTGAGTATTTCCACCTTCTTTATTTCTTTCATCTTTTATTTCCTTAACATTGTGTTCAAACAATGCTGGAATTTTTGTGTGAAGTTTATTATTGCACATTTCGCAAAGTGATAGGTTGCAATCATCACATTTCCATTTAATGTCAGTCGAGGTATTACAAAATTCACAATTTATTTTGCCACTTGCCATCTGTTAAAAAAAACCAAATCATTAGTTAATTTGGAAAAAACAAATTATCGTTACCTTTTTCAATTGCATAAACAAAGTTAACATATTTTGTTTATATTATACATTTCATGTGACAACCTTTGACATGCCATATTAAGGCAACTACTTTTGACAATAGTTTCGGCTTAATTCAGATTTTCATCTTATATTACTTTCTAGTGACCACAAAACAGCATATTGTCTATTTGTGTACATACCTCATAGTTTTGTGTTCCTTGGCTTTATTATGACTGTATCTAGGGAGCACTGACGTTGGATATTTAACTTCCTGATTTGATTAACAGAAGTCTATTCTTCCTACATGGACACAATAAATAAAAGGGAATTCATATCTTTAAAATAATTCATATAAACATTACAAGAATTACCAACAATATTGAATAGTACAATAGACCATTTGTTTATAAACAAATCTCAATATGATATAACAAATAGCTATTCTACACCAGGACACTATATATAGAAAATGCACTTCTTGATTGTGATTGTCATTTATATCATAACAATAAATGAATCTATCAATTATATATACTACTACTACTAGGGGTGTGTTTAAATGTCAGGTCTACCCATGAGGGTCTCGCACGGTCGGCAATTATATATCTTTGTTTTTAATAAAAGTGGCTAGAACAGTACACTTCTTCAAACAGTTGATTAGGTGAAACTTAGATGATAAGTTTTTAAAACTACCATACATTCAGTAGATATTAGATCTTTTAGAATCTATAGTGCATAGCCATAAGTTTTCTTCACTTGTGTTTAAAAGGACACTATACAAATTTTTGTATAATGCATTATTACTCAGGAGTTTCAGAAGACAAAGGAAGCTGATTTAAGCTCAACTTCTTAATTACCATTTTCATGATTTTAGAGTTTAGACAGATATATTACATGAACCGTATGAAAACAGTTTCAATGAAGGTGGGAAGGTATGGGGTCTAGAACTGCAGTAAAATTGCGTACATATATCTGTTCGTTTCTATGCAAACAACTCTGATATTCCTGTTCGCCTTTCAATATTGGTACGATTTGAAAAAAATTGTCGACTACATTATCGTGTTTATAATTACCCGTATTTTAACAAGTTAAATTAAATGATTCCAGTGGAAAAAACCGTTGTCGCAAGAACAATAGAAAAGTGACTCTTCTCATATAAAAGGAGACAAAATTAACTGTTTGTTTACGCCGGTAACCATGCTGATCTCAATCGTAATCATACATTTTTAAAAACGTATCTGTTAAAATATGTTATTTGAAATATACATGCTATTACTTAAAATCGTATATTTATTTGTTATCAAGATAATTGCATAAGGCGCTTGCTACACTGAAATTTTAATAAATGTAAACATGTTGCAAATTGATAAAATAAAATCATGTCCATATAACAGTCACTAATTGTTGGAATCCTCCGCATATTAAAACGCAGGTGTCCTGGAAATAGTTCTGTTCTACATGTTTAATAATTTTGAAGACGTCATGTTCACCTCTAGATGTTTTTGTGTGTTGGGTTACGTTGATGTTTTAGGTCCCTTTTGGTAGTATAGCTATCTGTGGGTTTTTGGTCTTATAGATCCTTGGTTTTCAAATGTTTTGGTTATGAAAGTAAATTCAGAAATGCGCTTCGGACACACAAAATGAAACACGAGAGACGGAAGAAACAAAACGGACATTCAAACACATAAGTCAAAACGAACCGACAACGCCATGGCAAAAACGAAAAACTACCAAAAGAGAAACAACAGTCCACAAACTAAACGCCTTTTTTTTATGGTAAAAAATCTTTTAAAAAATCCAGTATTGCAAAAAATAACCAATGCTTTCTCCATGGGAATACAATAGAATATTCATTCTCTTTTTTATTGAACAAAATAAGAAAAAAATGAAGGGTCAACGTACCGGAAAAAGAATATTTTGAAAAAAAGGAACAAGAATTGAAAATGGAGAATACATTTGACAAAATTATGAAAGCATCGTCAAATACAACACGTTATCAATTTCATGCGTCCGAAGCGATTTTCTTGATATACCTTCATCAGGAATGCTCAATGCCGAATATTTGAAAAACAAAGATGTATAAGAACCGAAACAGTTGAAGAGCTATATGACCAAAAAGGACCTAAAAAATAAACAAATCCAACTAAGGTCAAATTTGCTTGATGGAGTTGAAACCTTAGTTTCTTTATAATTTCAAAATTTTAGAACAGTTTGTTAGAAATCATGTCATTACTTTTGTACTGACAAATGAGCTGATGATACCATCGGGGACTGATAGTCTATCAGCAGAGATATCGACCCAGTGCTATAAAAAAAAAAACACGTTATAAATTTCATGCGTCCAAAAAGACGTCACCTCAAATTGGCGATGTTTTCACGAAGAAAATGTTGGGTTAAGGCTGTTTTATAGCTAGCTATCCCTATTGGTAGTTAGTTTTCAGCACAGACAGCATATAAAAGTGGCGTGCTGAAAGTAGTGCGATGTAAGAATATCTATATGAAAATTTTGATTTAGTTAATTAAAGCGTTTATTGTGTGGACGAGACGCACGTCTGACGTATTGAATTTTAAGCCTAGTACCTTTTGTTAGCTTTTATTCGTGTGTTTCTTTGTCCTATATGTTCTCCCATTTATTTGTATTGTGGTCCTGTCATGTGATGTTGTCGTTTTGGTGTTGTGTTTGACGTTGCCATAAAAGCGGGAGGTTTGGCATGCCACAAAACCAGGTTCAACCAACCATTTTTTTCTTAAAATGTCCTGTACCAAGTCAGGAAAATGGCCATTGTTATATTATAGTTCGTTTCTGTGTGTGTTACATTTTAATGTTGTGTTTTTGTTGTGTCGTTGTTCTCCTCTTATATTTGATGCGTTTCCCTAAGTTTTAGTTTGTAACCCGGATTTGTTTTTATCTCTATCGATTTATGAGTTTCGAACAGCGGTATACTAGTGTTGTCTTTATTTTTGTGTTTAATAGAAAAGAACTTGTTCCTCCTTTTTTTTTATAGAAATGAAGAATTTGATTTTCATATTTGAACAGTGATGTAAAAGTATAATTTGTTTGTATATTGTGACTACTATACTTATACTTTACAAAGTATACTTTGTGAACTGCTGAAATACTTGTAACATACGATTTAAGTAAATATGCGTATTCTGCATTGAAAGTTTTGACAACTTTTCTATAAGATGTGCAAAGAATTTATACAGTTAACTACACTATACGATTTTTCCAAATATGTTATGGGTATGTTCAATATTGCAAATTTTACACGTTTTCCGCACCAAAGGAAATATAATTCGGTTAATGTATATCTAAAAGACAAGTCAAAACTTTGTTGTCGATATAATTTTGGTTAAGACTGTTCCTCCTTCTCATTTTACGATAAATAATTAAATTATGTGAAATAACACAACTTCTTTTTTAGTCTCTTTTAGGCATTTATAGTTTGATTGCATTTCTAGAAATACGCCGTGTCGTTGCTAGAGCCTCAGCTTAAGGATGTACACTTCTGAGGAGCCAAAAATTTCTAGAATTAAACTTTTTTTCTTAACCTGATTTTTTGGTTTATATGATAGTGTGAAAGTAATTGATGAAGAAAAAATAATATGATGATGCTCTTCTTTTTTTGCTACGGCCATTTGAAAGTACCCCATTTTTAATGATTTTCCCATTTTTCATAAATTTTTACCCCTTTTTGGGCTATTATCATGAAAAAATCACAGTTTCACAATTTAACTTGTTTTCATACTTTCACTAAAGATGAAGTGGACCAATCTGAATAAATTTAACTTAAAAAAAACTATAGGTTGGTGTTAGAAAGTTTTATAAAATTTTGTTGCTTTTGTCACGGATAGACGAGTGCTGTAACAATTAACAATTTAATATAGTACAAATTTACAATTATATATATACTGATAAATGTTCAAATTAAACTGTTCATTCTGTTAACTGAAATGCTGTGGAAAAATAATACTTCCGGTCATCAAAACTGGCCCAACATAACGTGTAGGTTACGACTGCCCTATTGACGTCTCACAAGGTTTACGTTGTCATATACTAATGTTGCTTATATCATGCTGTTTAATGATTTTACCAGCACGTTGTTATCTCCTTCCTACATACTACTAACTTCATACTACTCAGCCCTCTGACTGGGACCTATCGAAATATATACTATACGTTATAATAAAACATATACATACGCTTATGTATTACACATGTCGCATAAATAATTATGAGTATTTAGTACCACTACTTATGCGTTCAATCTATGGAAGATTGCGTTACATCAAATAATATTTAATGTTTTACTTTACACAATAAATAATTACGGCATATCGCATAATGCCTTACGTTACATGTCACATTATTGACCTTTCAAATCGATTGTCAACTACTTCATCTGATCAAAGGAAAGCAACTCTTATAAACGTTTCCAGTTCGCGAGAATAACAACCTCAAAAACTGTCGACGGCGTCATACTGTTGCGCTTGTATATGCGCAAAATCCTAACAGGGGTTTTATACAATTTTAAGAGATCAATGGTTGTTAGTTTCCTTTTTGCGTTGGTTCATTACAAGTCTGTTTTTGTAACGGCACTTTCGTTTTTTTATTATTATTATTATTATTTACTGACGTCAGTAGTTGGCCTGTAAATTTCTTGTTGTGAAAAATACAGTACTATTTACAGTCTGATGGTCGGCATCA